TATATAGTAAGTTTTATTAATTATTATTAAATTTTAAAAATTATTATATGATATATAATTACTAAAATAGATAATATTTACTATATTGTAATAATTTAGGTATTTTAAGTTTTATATGATAAGTTTTTTTGGGTTTCGTGAGGAACAACTTATACATAGAGAATGTGTTTTTAATTTTTTATAGAATTTTCAAATAAATGAAAGGTTGAGTTTAAACAAAATATTATAAATTGTGATGTAATTAAATTTAATGAGATTGAGTTTTAATAAATAATTTTATAATGATATTAAATATTAAGTATTCTTCGTAAACTGATAAAAGGATAGTTAAAAAATTTTTAAATAAGTTTTTTGGTTATATATATAAAATTATTGTGAACTTATTGTAATTTTTTATATCTTTTAGAAAAATTAGTTAAAAAATTATTAAATACGCATATATCTAAAAATTTTATACAATTACAAAAAAAACTCCCAACTACAATTTAAAATGCACCTAAATATCAAAACTGTGTTTTGCATGGTTTTTGTATTTTTTAAAATTTTTTTACTAATTATAAATTTTTATAATAATAATTAATTATTAAGATATCTTAGTATTTTTTTATAATTAATAATTTTAATGTATTAATTTATAAAAAAAAGTCTGAATGACATACATGAAAAAGTATTTAAGCATACAAATTTAATCAATTTAATTTTAAAAAATAAATATAAATTTTTATAATTTGTTAGTATATTATTACTATTTTCGTTCAATTTTAATATATTTAGTTTTAATTAAAAAAATTTATATTTATCTATAATTAATCACTATTTAAAAAAAGTTTCCTATTTAATTTATATTATAATTATTTTTTAAAATAAAAATAAACACATGGAATAATTTAGATTTAAACACCCAAATTCAAATATTAAATATACTAAAATTAAACTAAGCGAGTAATAAATGAATAATGCTTGAGGGGCCTCGGCCCCTCAAGCCGAGTGGACACCAACAGATGTGACAAACCTTGGTTAGACCATTTTTTCATTTACTTTATAAGTAAATTATTAATTGATCCTATATTTAGTAGATTAAAATTATTTTAGTTTTTTAAAATTTTTATTGTAATAATTTTAGCATATAAGACTTTTAAAAATAATTTTTTTAATTTGTATTTTTAGAATATAAATTAAGAACACTTTTTTAATATTATTATTATTAAAAAATAAAAATTAATTTTTATGTAATTAAAATAATTCATATAATATTAATGATAAAATTACTATCAAGATGTAAATTATTTATAGTTTAAATTTAATGGTACAAATATTAGGTTTAAATTTTTTATAATTTATTTTTTTGGAAAGTTCTGATTTACGGGATTGTGAGCTCAAATGCTCAATTATCTCCTAATCATGCATTTCTATCCCACGTATTACATTAATGGTTACTTGATACATCCAACCAAAGGTTTTTTTTTAAAAAAAATAGGCAATAATATATCCAACTAAAGTTGACTACACTAAATTCTATAACATGTGCAGCATTAGATTTAAAAAGCTTAAACGCTATTTTTAGTTTTTAAATTTTTAAATTTTTAAATTTTTAATTTATATTTTTTTAATTTTGTTGTTTTTAAATTATGAAAAATATATTTTTTCTATTCTTTCCATTAGTTAGTTTATTAGTTTTATTCATATATATACATTTTTAATTCCTAAATTTATAGTATGTGCACATTTATTATCTCTTAACTTAAAATATAAGTTGAAACTAAAAATATGCATACATAAGTAAATTTAATGAATTAACTAATAGGATAGCTAAAAAATGTATTTTTTATAGTTTAAAGATGAAAAAAACTAAAAAAATAATTTAAAAACTAAAAATATTCAAAATTAAAAATTAAAGAACCAAAAAAAAGGACATTTAACCATTTTAAAAAGGAAATACACCCAATTCACAAGCAAAAACCTACTTTTAATCTTTTACCTTATTAGATTTATAAATTTTAATTCATCATCTTATATTATGACACTTTTAACCCTTCACTTATTAAAATTGAAGAAAATAACTTCCACTTTATAATATTTCGTTAGTTTTGTTAATTGACTGTTAATTTTGTTAGTTGACTATTAATTTTGTTAGTTGAAAATAGGTTTTTGTTAATTAACAGTTAACTAATAAAGTTAACAGTCAATAAACAGAATAATTTTGTTAACTGACTGTTAATTTTATTAGCTGAAAGTAGGTTTTTACTAATTAACAATCAACTAATAGTCAGTTAATAAAATTAACAATCAGCTAATAAAGCAAACAAAATATTATAAGTGAGGGTTATTTTCTTTAATTATAATAGGTGCGAGACTAAAAATGTTATAATATAAAGTGAGATGTTAAAATCTACAAATCTAATAAAGTAGAAGGCTAAAAGTGAGTTTTTGCCCAATTCATAACTGAATTCAACACAAACAATGGCGAGTGAAACCCAATTGGCAAGAAGAAAAAATTCAAAAGGGAAAAGAAAGCAGGACAAATTAAGAGAAAGAAGGCGAATTGGACCTGCTGAAGAAGAACTCCAGATCAGACTAATCAACTTCAAAATTCATCACCCAAAATCCTAAAGAAATAACAAAAGTAAGAATTCGTGAATAGGAGAATCGGAAGGGAGAAAGAAGAAAAAGAGATAAGGAATGAGAAACAGAGAGTCAGAGAAAGAGAATTCTGTATATTCATCTACTGAAAAGACCAAGATACAGAGTACCCTTCTATGCAAGAATTATGTACGACACTGCAAGCCTAAGGTACAATATTGTTCTAATGCAGTAAGAGCAGGTACAACGCTACTCTAATAACTTGTTCTTCTGTAGGGAAGCTAACCAAAAATATGTTGGCTTGGCTCAAGAAATAATATTTTTTAGCATAAAAATCGAGATTCAATATAATTAATTACAATCCCAAGAAAACTTTTTTTAGGATATTTTGTTTGGAAAGGAGGTAATTGATTAGAGAAAGCCAATAATCAATTATATCACTTATAATCACTCCTTTTAACTCTTTTGTAATCAATTATATGCCTAATATAATCGATTATATTTCTAACATAATCAACTATATTTAACATCGATTTTCATGCCAAGAAATTTTATTTCCTAAGCTAAGCCTACCCAGTTTTTTGTCAGCTTTCCTAGGTTCTTTTTCTAGGAAAGGCCTTAACTAAAAGGTTTAAGTACCATTTTGGTCCTTCAACTTTTCACTTTGGTATCAAAATTGTCCCTCAACTTTAAAAAATATCAAAATTATCCTTAAATTTTCATTTTCGATACCAAAATGGTTCTTCCGTCAGTTAAGTGGACAGGTGGCACATTAAAATGCCACAAAATCATTGTTTTTTTTGAATTTTAATGACGTGTAAATCCAGCGAACAAAATTTTGCTACTGTGGCATGTTTTTTTCCATGTCAAATTGCTCTCCCTTTTCAGATTCAATTTTTGTGGGGCTCACATGAAAAATTGTTTTCCTTTTCCAGTTTCAGTTGAGTTCCCGAAGGCCAAACGAAAACAAACACGAACTCAATACTGACTTCCAAAATTTGGAAGATACGGATGAAATTCAATGAAAAATGAAAGAAAAAGGAAATGAAAAACTCAAACTCATTTTAAGTTTTCACATAGTGCAACATGAAACAACTTTTCTACGGAAAGAAAAAAAAAAGGGATCAGAAATATTTTCTCAGCAACCAAACAAAGCAAGAAGCTAAAGAAACAGAGCAAAGAAAAACTAGCTTTACCATCCCAAACTTCAAAATTGATCAAACCAATCACCAAGAATATGAATTTCGTGCTCAGAGCTATGGAAATGAAGTGAAATTGTGAAATTACTGGAAGAAATGCTAGGGTTTGTTCTACGAGGAACCCAGAAACTGGGTTCTTCAAGGAACCTCGCGTAACCTAGGTTCTGGGTTCGTCAAGGGTTCCTCGTGAAACCCAGAACCTAGGTTCTTCAAGGAACCTAGGAACCTAGAACTGGGTTCTTCACGAAACCCAGATCTGGGTTCCTCACGAAACCTAGGAACCCAAAACTGAGTTCCGCAAGGAATTGGGTTCCTCAAGAAACCTAGCACTGGCTTAGGTTCCGCCACCCAACACCGGGTTGGGTTCCGCAGGTTCTGCGAAGAACCAAGATGGACAAGAGGAAAACCCAGCATCGAGTTCCATGAGGAGCCAAGATGATGAAGAGGAAGAGGATGGTGAAGATGATGAGAAAGATGGTGAAGAGAATGGTGAAGAAGATAAACAGTGAGGTGATGATGCCGAGGATTAAGCTGAGGATGAGGAGAAGGAAGAAGATGATGAAATGAAAGTTAATTAACTTAATTATTTTTAAACTCATTTAATTTATAAATTTATTTTTATTTAAATAAAAAAATAACACATGAAAAAAAATGCCATCTCATCACTTTTAGCATGATATGTTTTCCACGTAATTATTATTTTTAAGAATATGATTTTGTGGCATTTTAACGTGCCACCTGTCATTTAACTGACAGAATGATCATTTTGGTATCGAAAATGAAAATTTGAGGATAATTTTGGTACTTTTTAAAGTTGAGGGACAATTTTGATACCAAAGTGAAAAGTTGAGGGACCAAAATGGTACTTAAACCTAACTAAAAGAGTTGAAAATGTAATACAGATAGATTTCATAGATTAACTAATAAGATGTCTAAAAAAAAATAGTTTAGACATTAAAAATATTTAAAATTAAAAATTAAGGGATTAAAAAATAACATTTAACTTAGAATAGATGCAAATAAGAATACAAGATTTGTCATTTTATTTAAGGATGCAAACCTTTTAAATTTGTAAATTAGATAGTAAATTTTTATTTTTTTCTAATTAAGAATATGAACTTTATTTATATATTTTTTTAATTTAAGGATTTATTGAACAATGATGACATGATAAATGACATTTTTAATTGGAATAAAGCAAAGTTTTCATCTTTAAATAGAAAAAATGATAAATTTTGTATTCTTAACTAAAATAAATAAAAGTTTATTACTTGATTTAATAATTCAAAAAATTT